ACTATTTGGCAGACTTCGTAATTACGTGTTGACGAGTTTAAGTGCATTCCAGCCAGATTATTAACAAGAACAGCAGTGTTCCTTCTAATGTAACTCGCGCAACTAACTCTGCCTATCGTAGTTTCCAACTGTACCTTTCCAAGGCTTACCGAAATTCAGGCGTTCTGTTCGCAGTCTGATAGAATTAAAGTAGGAATAACAGTTATTTTAAATTACATTTTGGTCATCATGATAGGGAGTCACTTGTTCACTGCTCAATGCATATCCAGGTTTCGGGAACTTATCGTGTGCCCGAAGGTTCACTTAAGTAAATTTGACTTAATGACTGTGTGGAAATAAAAATCAGCATTTATTCATGTGAACGAACAAATTGCCTATATAATTTGAAGGTATAAAACGGATCAACGAAGTCACAAACTCGCACATATCTAAAACAGGAAAAGCCAATCTGACGTCAAGATCTACCAACAGCAGCTCTAGGTAGTAAAGAAAATTGATTGCCGCTGACACATAGCAGCTCCGTCATTCCAAACGTAAATGAATAAACTGGTAGATTTTGCCATGTGTGCGCTATAAGTGCATTCTCATGATTACGAGTGTCCGATATTTGCACCTTTATTCTGGTGGTTTGTAGTATTTATGACCTACAGATCACAAAGGCAAAGCTACCGGTGACTCGGGTTCGCACTGATATTTAGAATACCGGTACACTGTGTTCGCCGCAAAGTTGCGGATAACCGATTCGCTGAAAGGTGTTCGTTTAAGCACTGTTGTATCTGTGAAAGGTGTTTGATTCTTTGATTTAATGACTGTGGTAAAGAGTTCCAAATAAAAGTAAAGAGCTATTCCTTGAACTTGTTAATGTGTTGTTATTGTCATCGTCATCTGGGGTATTAGGGTCAAGGGCAGAGTACCCTGATTAATGGTGTCTGTTACCTTGATTTTTCATAATGATTTAGGGGATGTTATTGGCTGGCTTAGAGGTCATGTTACTTGTCGCAAGCAAGTCCAGCGCTAGCAGTTGCTTTGAGGTGCGATATTGGCCTTCTACTCGCCTGCAGCCATTTTTTGCTTCCCAAAGGAGGATGGCTTTGGATAGGTCTCTGTTCTCTGTGGATGGTTATGTCAGACCACGACAGACTTTGGTCCCTGACATTTTTAGACAGCATTCTCAGGGTAGTCACCTTCCAAAATCTTTTCATTCTTCATTCGATGGAACTCTTATTTGTCAGTGTAACAAATTACCGTACTGGAAATGGTGTATTATGCAGTAAAATGGATGTGCTAATTTTTGTATCCTCTACCGCTTCAGGTGACCTCTGTTCTGGTAACTAAATCGAATATTTAAGCTGAATCATAAATAAAAACTGCAACAAAATAGCCAGTAACTAAAAAATTCCTTCTGAACAGAATAATCGACGGTTTGTGGCATCTCTAGTAACTGTATACACATTTTTGTTTCAACAATAATTCACTTCTCAGTAGTTTCTGGTGAATCCTTATCTTCCACTTCACGATTCGCTGTCAGTTTCGTTTCTTGTTTCCCTTTCTTTAAATGATATAACCTTGAATTTCGTCAAGGGTCCAAGGAATGTTGGTGGCTTATTTTCGATCGATGATCTGAACCTACCTTAGTCGAAAAACCGATGGCAACACTTGTGTCATCCTTGTCCGATTTATATCAAACGTCTTCCAGATGTTCCGCTTGCTGAACATTAAAATTGCAAGGTTATCTCCGGGGAAACTGTCACAAGCCAAGCACCGGCTACTGGTCGCATACCTCCCTCTGAAACAGCCCATTCAGGCGGTGGGTACGACGACAGCTCAGAATATACAATGGGGGAAGCTCGAAGGGAGCAGAAGGAAGCGTTCGAAATGGAAGCTACGAGAAAAATGACGAAGGAAGATTGGGACAGGAAAATTGACGAAGTATGGGAGTGGACGGCCAGCATAGTCATAGGGAATACTAGAGACTTAGTCGAAGAAACAAAAGGCACAGCATATCGAGAAAGAAACGTGGTGGTAGAATGCGAACGTTCAGGCGACCCTACGACAGAAAAAAATTGCTGTCCAAAAAATGGCAACTATCAAACAGCGTGGAAAACAGTAAAATATGCCGTATCGAAGAGGAATGCAAAGAAAGTCGTTGCCGAAGCAAGATCTACAGAGTGCAAGAGCTTATAGGAGAACTTATCGGAGAAACTGGCATCAAAGGAAGGAAAGAAGGACATCTAAAGCATAAGAAAAGCCAGAGGAAGAAGAATAAGACGCATCAGTACTGTGAAGTGCATAAAAGACGAAAGCGGAATGGTTCTAACGGAAGAAAAAGATATTCGCAACTGATGGCGAATTCAGTTACATACGCTCTTAGGCGAAGAACATCCCATAGGGGTCGCGGAAGAGATCCTACAAAACCAGGGCCTTGTCGAAAAGATCTCACCGGAGGAAGTGGAACAAGCCTTGAGCAGAATAAAAATTAAGGATGTCCTTGGCCCGGATAGAGTTCCCATAGAAGCATTTAAAGCACTGGAGCAAGAAGGCGTGACTTCGCTCTGCGCGCTATTCAAAAAAATTGTGTAATATGAAAAAATGTCAGAACTTGAAGGCAGAGTATTTTGATACCAATGCACAAAATGAAAGGGTACATACTCGCCTGTGAAAACTACCGGAAAATCAAACTGCTTAGTCACGTGAAGATATATGAGAGAGGTGTTTGACAAAAGACTGAGAAAGGAGGTCGACATCACCACGAACCAATTTGGCTTCACGCTAGGCAGATCAACCACGGATGCTATTTTCGCTTTAAGATCAGTCCTCGAAACATACAGATATGGCAGACAAGACATTCTAATTGTGTTCCTAGACCTGAAGAAAGCCTTTGACCGATTCCAGAGGGAAACAATCAGCTGGAACATGAGAAAAGAACTTATGTCATAAACGTCAGGCTTACCAAGTATATGTAGAACAGGGTGACAACGATAGTCGGAAGTTCATGCGGTGAAACGGAAGAGTTCCCTGTGCGGGTAGAAGTGCAAAAAAGATCCACACTGAACCCACTGCTGTTCTCAATGACGACAGACGCGATAACTGAGGATCTGCATGAAGCAGCCCCATACTGCGTGCTGTATGGAAATGACATTGTGCTATGCAGCGAAAGCAGAGAAGCTGTAGAATAAAAAGCCGAGGCATGGAGAACAGCCCTTGAGAAAAACAGCCTTCGACTAGCAAAGGTAAGTCAGAACATATGGCGGGCTATTTCAGTGGGAAAAACAGGTTGAAATTTGTCAGACCAGTGACAATAGCGGTGAGCTTGCTGCCTCAAACCGAAGAATTCAACTGTCTTAATTCCATCCTACAAGATAACGCGCAAATCGACAGCGAGGTAAGAATTCGGTGGAAAAAAAGCTTGGCTCAATTGGTCAGAAGTGAGCGGAGTACTGTGCGACAAGAAGCTGCCCATCAGACTGAAAGGGAATGTGTACATAACTAGAGTAAGACCGGTGCTTCTGTAAGGGGCGGAGTATTTTGTTTAACTGAAGAGACATGAGCAACAGTGAACTCCATAGAAATGCGAATGCTCAGTGGATATGTGGTGTCAGCGGAAAGGACTACATCCGAAACAGCTCCCTAAGAAGCAGTCTAGAAGTAGTACCAGTTTCAGATATG